CGCCATTATTCCATGGCTAGAAATTGGCCTCAATGATTTGGGATCGAGGGGGATTATCCCTCTTTATCCTGCCTCATCTCGTGTAGGCCTGGACAGCCTTCGTAGGTGGGCCCCATCCGTCGTCTACCCCGACCGCAAATGCGGCCGGTGTAGGCGCTTTGTGGGACCTCCTTTTGTCCTGGCTGGGGAGTTCATTGGTGTCAAAAGTTGTAGTGCCCATTCCCCATGCTCCATGGTTTGAGGTTATGTTACTTGTCAATTTTTTTTAGTATTGTATTTTATTTTATAGAATTTATTTCACATCTTGATATTATTGATTTTGATTTTGAAATATAATAAAAGTGTAGAACTGTTCATTACTAAAATGTGTGAAAAAGATGTCGAAAATTTGTCTTACACACAACTTTCTTCTTCAATAAATCCTAGCTTCTGGAATAAATTTACAGAATTAAAATTAGATGTAGACAAATTGAATGAAAAAGAACATGAAATATGGGGTTATTGTAGCATGGTTTGTCGTAAAGAGTGTAATGCATCAATTTTGGAAGTAGATAGCACTTCATTTAATGAGTAAGTATAAATATGAAAGAAAAGTTAATATTATACAGACTGATTAAAAATTCAGTACAAAGAATTCAGGCGCGTATTTTTGAGGTCAAAATAAGACTTTTTTTCCCTCTAAATGTGGGTCCACAAATGCTTAGTTTTCGATATACAGGATGTTAAAGTTTTTGATTTTTTTTTGATTTTTTAGGAATAATGTCCAAACAAATTTGAATGTTGGCATAAAACCTGGGGTACGGGTTTTTTTAAGATGCTAAATTTAAATGTCATTGGTTTTGACGCTGCTTGTAGAGGACGGCACACTTGAATTAAATTGGCCCTAACTTTTTTGCTACCCTGTACATTAACGTTTCGTATTAACGTGTTTATTCCCCTATCAGTTTTAAGTAAGAAAGGCATCCTTGGTCGGAATCTCTCAGGCCAACTGTTTCCGAGATATTCGCTGATGAAGAGTTAAATGCTCACCATATTTTCAAATTTTATTAACTATTTTCCCTGAAAAATTTTAAAATTTATTCACTATCTAATCAGTAATGCAATGATCGTGAATTTTAGCTCTTTACATTTTTTTTATACAATTAAACGTTTTCAAGAAAATCACTGCTGAAAATTGGAAAATATGGTGTGCATTTAACTCTTTATCAGCCAATATCTTAGAAACGGTTGGCCTGAGAGATTTTGAACTAGTATACCTTTTTTGCTTAAAATTGATAAGAGATTAAACGTACTAATACGAAATGTCAATGTACAGGGTAGCAAAAAAGTTAGTGCCAATTTAATTAAAGCGTACCCTTATAGTTGACGCCCTCTACGAGCAGCGTCAAAACCAATGACACATTTAAATTTAGCATCCTAAAAAACCCCCGTACCCCAAGTTTTATGCCAACATTCAAATATGTTTGGAAATTATTCCTAAAAAATAAAGAAATTATAAATTTTAACATCCTGTATATCGAAACCTAAGCGTTTGTGGACCCACGTTTATAGGAAACAAAGTCTTATTTTCACCTCAAAAATACGCCCCTAAATTCTCTGTACTGAATTTTGAATAAACCTGTATTATTTTTATATTTTAGAAAATTTAATGGACAAAATTCATATATACCTTTTCATGGTTCTTTAATAAACAAAAATACCTTAGAACAATTTAAAGAATGTAATAAAATAGATATAATAAATGAAGCGGGCAAAATTGTGTTGGAAAGAATTAAAAATGAGAGTGTCTTATGCAATCCATCTATATTGAATTCATTTTTGGTACTTTCTTTTGCTGTAAGATAGTAATAGTTTTGATATAGAACAAGACTAATATATTTTCCTGTAGGATTTAAAAAAATACCATTATTATTACTGGTTTGCATTCCCAGTACCAAGAGGTTTAATGGTAGAGAAAAATTCATTATGCAGTATTACCGAAGAATTTTCTGAAGCTGAGGTGGGATAATTTTACTAAGTACCCATTTAATTATTAAATAACATATAAGGTGCAATAAGGGCACCCTATTATGTTAATAAAATACATCGTCTTTGTAGGTGCAATTCTTGTGTACAGAGTTTAAAAAACTTGATGACATCCAAAAGACTTACTTTTTGGTAGAAAGTATTCAAAATGGTATAAAACTACACTGTTTGCAAAGTCAAGTGAAAAAAATAAATTTAGAAAATAAAAAACAATTCTATTTTGCCTTTTATAATATTTCTGCTCCATATGCAGAAGTAGGATCACAGCTGAAGAATTATATCACTATGGTTTTGCATTACTGGTAATAGAAAATTGTCTTATATTATGTAGTTAGTATTTTAAATTATTCATAACACATCTAGAAATAGAGAAAATTAACTTGTTTATTATTTACCTACTTCTTATGAATTATTTCAAAAAATATTTGGCTTCAGACTTCAATTATTATACAACTATTTATTAAATTTTATTGTTTTAGTCCATTTTTACAGGGCCAAGTTGCAAATTTTATAGCACTTCACTTGAGTCGTACAAATGATTTTTCAATCACTTGCCACAAAAGTATTATTTACAAATTGAAACTGCCTTCCTTAGAGAAAAATTATACTTGGGTAGGATGGGAGAAAAATGAGCGAGATAAAATGGGGCCTCGATTGGCTAATTTGAAAAATACTCTAGACCCTTACGTGTAAGTTTTTGAATATTTTCTCATTTCGTTTTCATCAAACTTATCTATTTTCAAGTAAAACTGACATCAATAAACTGTATTTGTAGAATTGCTGAAAATTCTATAGATTTAAATCTGAAGCTTATGAAATGGAGAATTTTACCTGATATTAACCTTGAGAAAGTTAAAGAAACAAAATGTCTTATATTGGGATCAGGGACTTTAGGATGTTCTGTCGCAAGAATACTGCTTGTATGTATACACTGTGTTTTTGATTCAATATGAAATAGAACTCAAAAAAGTAAGAATATTTTTCAAATACGTAACAATTTTTTGAAAAATTAAAAATTAAAAAAACATCTTTTAATGTAGATTAAGCATTTTCTCAGAATTATTTCTGCGACACTCTGCGACGCCAAACTTTTCGTGTTACCCCTCAGAAAAAATTGCATGGACCTTGAAGGCCATTGTGGAGTATCATGTCTAAAATGAGGCAGAGCACCATCTTGTAAAAACCAAATAGGTCGTCTTACATTTAAGGGAACAAACCCGAGTACTTCAGGCAAAGTTATTTTGCTAGTGTAGATTCATCCTGGTAATATGAAAATGCTGCATACCATTAATAATATCAGTCTAAATATTACAGGTTTGTTAGAAATTTGTTCAGCAAACATATATAGTAAAGAAACAAAGCTGTATTCTTTTAGAATGGTCAAACTAACATCTTCGACATGCAACATTCTAAATGGCTTAGGTCTTTCAACATGCCCCTAGCAATTTTCCTGTAAATGTCCATTTTTTTCAGCCCTTTGAGAAACATAAATAAATATGCAAAAGGCTGGATGATATCTTAAAGAAAACGCTTAGCCTGCAATCGTGATGCTATAACATTTTTGTGATATTGCTATCATATGAATTAGTTCATCATTACTTAGAATATGGGACATTTTCAACCAAAATTACGAAGCGTATTATTTATAACCCAGTCACCACTACTTTTATAAGTTGTGTTGTGCGTGAGTTATCAGTAAGACAAAACGAAAACAAGAAAGGAAAAACTATCGCTATACAGTATAGACTATAGACTCTTTAATCCGAACTAATTAAAACACGGGCTTAAAGAGATAAGTTCGAATTACCGATATTTTTGGATTACTGGATAGTAAATATATACATATGTAAATATGAAAATTTGATTTTATGTGACTGAAAAGACAAAAAATAACAATTAAACCAAACATTATTGTAAAATATGTCGTATAAATATCACCATGTTTGCATGGCCAATAATATTTCAACTAAAAAGATCTAATCAAGAAAGGTTCCGATTCGCATAAAAGGGTTTCCCCGAGACTGCCGGGGAATTACGTTTTTAGCAGTTACTTTTTATTATGTAGTCTGACTTTATAATCCGAACTATATACGTTAAACCGAATTTTGTTTGAATTAAAGAGTTTTGTTCGGACCATCGAAACAGGCATTCGTCGGATCGTCGGGCCGGATTAGTGGATATTCGGATTAGGGTGAGTTCGGATTAAAGAGTCTATACTGTACTGTGATAATGTAACTAATTCCTAAATCGTTTGTTGACGTTTTAGTTATTAACATGGATATATAGATCAGATGTAGGTCAAATGTATGTCAAATTTCTTTTTCGTTATTTTGAAAAAGTATATTTTTGAAAAATTGACTTGCTTTGTTAAGGTTTATGTTGTTTTAAAAGGGAAACCCCAACTTAAACAAAACCCTGTATAATATAATTTATGTCCTAAGATAGAGAATATTTTATTACAAGTTTTTGCACTTACTGCATATGGAAGTAATTTCTGTTTGCATTAAACTAAATTATATCACTGTAGGTATATTGAATAATTTTCAGGCATGGGGCGTAAGAACGATTACTTTTGTGGATAATTCTACAGTTTCATTTTCCAATCCTGTGCGCCAAAGTTTATTTACCTATCTAGATTCAGTTAAAATGAAACCAAAAGCGTTAGCAGCTGCTGACAATTTAAGAACAATATTTCCTGGAGTAGTAAGATTTTATTTAATGCTAGAGTAGACCCTATAAATTTCTAAATATTCTTTTTTCAGAAAACAGAAGGAGTTCAGTTAGCTATTCCAATGCCAGGTCATACTATTGGAGACAGTTTGACAGAGCAAACAGTAGAAAATGTAAATAAGTTGAAAGTATTAATTGATACTCATGATATGATCTTTTTATTGATGGATTCAAGAGAGAGTAGATGGTTACCTACGTTATTAGCGAACTCAGCCAACAAGGTAATGGCATAAGAATACAAAAACTAATTTAAAAAATCCCAGCAAGACATTCAGTCATGATATAGTAATTAATATATTTCTGCATTTTGTTAATGGTAATGAATGTATTGTGGTTGAATTTGTCGTTGCAGTGATTAGAAACAAGAAAAGGAGATAACTTCAAATACCAAATGTTTTTTTTCAATGGCAATATTTGAATACAAATTTTTTTACTCTAGATAATTATTGACTCCATCTATGAAAATATTTCTTTAACCTACAGAAATATTTGATACAAGAATATACAGAATCATCCTTAACTTAAATATGAGCAAACTTGAGGAATGATAAAAACATAAAATGCTATGGCTGTTTAAAGGCGGCCACTAGTTTTTGTTTTAGATATGGATAAGAATACGTGTAATTTTATAATACATTAAATGATAGCTCAAAATTTTTAAGATGCAGTTTGTATGAGAATAAAATAAATAGATAGTGTCTTATATGTGTGTACAGATCATTAACGGAATAAGTAAGAAACAAATGAAAGAGCAAAATCCGCCCCTTTTGCGTAGTGTGTAGCAAGAGCTGGAAAGGTTGTACAGAGGTCTCCGTGAGCTTAAATTTATCATTATGAAAAATCTAGGTGAGCATAATTCGATGTTTCCAATATTTGCCCGACTTACCCCTACTTAAGGGGTGGAAACCACCCCTAAAACAAGAAAAATGAGAAAATAGTCGATAAATTCTTGGTAAAATTGGGGGAATTTTACATGGCAAGGGTAAAATCAGGAATGTCTTTCTAAAAATGCTCATAATAAACCCACCCCCCGCGTGGGGGTAAAACAAAAGATCTAATTATGGGGCCCGTCTTTCGTATCATTTGTTGGGTAGTGGGGGAAACAAAGTACTTCATGAAGTGGATATCATTCCCCGTCTGCTATCGGCAATAGGGGTGGTTTTACCCCCACGCGGGGGGGGTGTTTTTCACCTTGAGCATTTTTAGGAGGGCATTCTTGATGTTACCCTTGCCATGTGTAATTCCGCCAATTTTTACCCAGATTTTGGTGACCATTTTTTTGTTTTCTTGTTTTAGGGGTGGTTTCCACCCCTTCAGTAGGGGTAACTGATCAGAACCGACAGAAGAACGAATTAAGGCGGCATGTATTTCATATCATTTGGATTTATAAGGAAGAGTGGCACAAAAAAGGCAATTCATGAAGGGAACATCATTTGCCGCCGGTTTTCGGCAATAGGGGTGGTTTTACCCCCACGTGGGGGATGTTTTTCACCTTGAGCATATTTGGAAGAACATCCCTGATCTCTTCCTTGCCATTCAAATTCCCGCCAATTTTTACCAAGAATTGATCGACCATTTTCTCACGTTTCTTGTTTTAGGGGTGGTTTCCACCCCTTAAGTAGGGGTAAGTTGGACAAATATTGGAAACATCGAATTATGCTCAACTAGATTTTTCATGACAATCAATTTAAGCCCAAGGAGACCTCTGGACGACCTTCCCTGTTCTTGCTACACATTACGCAAAAACGGGTGAAAAAATGGGTTTTTTTGCGGTTACTCTTTAAATACTAGCACTCTGAATTCATTTTGAGGGATTTCTTTTTGTAAATTCAAGGCTTTATTATCAAAAATTGTGTATATTATTTTTTTATCAATTTTCCTGGCAGTATACCTACGGATTCCATTTTGAAAGAACAACTCGCCTTTTGATACTATCCACCAATCAATCCAATTTTTCGTATCTTCGTAGTATTAGAAGCACTGTCCAGTCAGTCTGTTCTATGGATCGGAACAAGTAGTAATCCGATGGAGTAATATCTGGTGAATATGGTGGGTGGGGTAAAACATTCCATTTCAGCGTTAAGTATTTTTCTACTTCATGAGTAACGTGGTCGAGCGTTGTCATGTTGAAAAATTATTTTATTATGTCTTTGCTACAATTACTGCCATTATTTCTTTAATGCATGGCTCAAACGCAATAATTGTGTTTGGTAGCGTTCACCAGTGATGATTTCATTTGGTTGAAGCGGCTTATAGTACACAATACCAGGCTGGTCCCACCAAATATAGAGCATGAGTTTTGAACCAAGAATATTCGGCCTTGTCGTTGAAGTTATTGCATAACCCCACAATTTTCAATGCTTAGGATTATTATAGCATATCCATTTTTCATCACCGGTGAGTAATGCTTCCAATTCTACATCTTCGAACTTGTTGAAATCATCACTTTCAAAACGTCGAGACCAATACAATACTAATACGGCTTTATCGATGGAGTATGTTCACTGTAAATTTCCAAAAGCACTCGAAGACTTTCAGCAGCACTATTATTTGAATTAAAGTAAAACTTCCCGCAAATGATGTTTTGTTGGCTCATAATTCTACATCTTTGGAGCTGAGAAAAAATATGTTCATTATACTGCAGCAAAATGATACATAATAAAAAGTAAGAGTCTAATGACACAGCTTTGATATAAATATAGTTACAAAAGTGTCCGATGCAATAAAGCATAAGTTATGCCATCTATTGTAAGTCTCTCAAAGTTAATTCACAGTCCCAGTATTTTATATTAAATATACCATGAAAACTTTTTTTAGGTGCTAATGTTTGAGTAATTATTGTATTATCAATTTTTTGAATCCAATATCAAATAACACGGCATTATCCTCACCTCTTCACTTGGTCTATCCCAGTTTTTTAATCATTACAGGTTGGTTATGCAAGAAGAAACTAAATTGTTTTTTTAACTACAATATTAAAGTAATTGAAATAAACTAGAATATACCAGGAATTAATAAATCTTTATAGAAATTTATATGAGTGTTTTGAGAATAATGTCTATTTCGGTTAAAAAATAATTATTGCAATTTTCAAAAAATAGGCGTCTTAAAAAAATTGATGTATTTTTAGGAAGTTATAACTCGAAATATAGTCACGCTTAGATCTTTTTTCATAAAGATATGTGAACTACATTAGTTGTCTGTGTGAAAATAAGTTCAAAATACTATAACTTAAGTCATATAATGACTATATAAAGATTACTATAAAAATAATTTTTTCAGATTGTTATCAATGCAGCCCTAGGGTTTGATACTTATTTAGTAATGCGACATGGGATTAGGGATGAGAATAACGAAATGTCTGGACCAATTAACAGCCTTGAAGGTTATAAATGTATAAAAGGCACTGAATTGGGTTGTTACTTTTGTAATGATGTCACAGCACCAGGAAATGTGAGAATTATGTAAAATATACAATACACACGGTGTAACTTTGAGTCGGGGTTAGATTTTTAGGGGTAATGGTACGTGTTCGTCTGTAATTCTAATCTGAACTTATTATTATTTTTTAATCAAATGAATTACAATTGAGTTGAGTTACAATTCGTTTTTAAGCTACACTTATACTCTATGCCACCACTAGGCAGCTCCCGAACTTAGTTGTATATACACGCCTATTAATGTTGACTGTTAACAAACGCCAACATTAAAAAAATTTTCAGGTGTTTTAAAAAAATTTGTACTTGCATGATTTAATAAATATTAACTAATATTCTTATGTGGATAGAAATATGCTACTAACTGTAAGTAAAACTAATTTGTTGTAAAAAAAAAATAAAAAACAATTTAGTTTTCGCGACTCAATTCGAGAAAACTTCTGATTATGTATCGGAGGTAACCTCTATATAAATATGAACCCATTCAAAGTTACACTCTCTATATCTATTTATTATTGCAATTCATGAAATGGATACAAATGGAAAGGGTACAGTAAAACCTTGCCGTTCGCGGATTTAAATTTACGCGGAAGCCATCCATGTCACCTTTTCTTTGCCGTTCGCGGGACGTTTGCTTTGTCCTTCGCGGTCCGAATTTTACACATAATTCTACAGATGAAAACCTGATTATGAGAAACCACAAACAATCATAAGTGTACATATGCAAGAACTCGATAACAAACCCTTGGCCTTGTCTCAATTCATCAATTTTTGAGGATAGCATAAACACATTTGAAATTGCTTATTTACTGCTTTCTCGTAAATAGGATCCAAAGCAGTGAATGTATGGGCAGCTTTTAAAGTGATAGGTTGACGATTCTACACAGATGGTGGGACTATGATTTTAACTTAAAAACTAAAATCATGCTTCTTTGTATTTAGTCTGAAATTTACCTTCGTGGCCTAGGTGAAAAATTTATTAAATACTTTGTGTTTGTTTTAATTGTTAACACATAAATTAACATTCGGAAAATTATGTCCTTAAAAGCAAAGCTTCTGTCGTAGACTTGTCTATAAAAAGGTGCAGAAAAGTGTTATTTTTAAATGATAAAGTGAAAATTTTAGACAAACTGAAATGTGGTTCAAGTGCTGCATCTGTTGCATCTGAATATGGAGTAAATGAGTCAACTGTCCGATACATAAAAAAAAAACGGAAGACAAAATCAGATCTTCGGTACAAGTTTCAGCTAAACTCACCCTAAAAACCGATTATGTAAGACGTAGAAATCCCTATACAGGGTGTCCCATTTTAATGTCCCACCTCAAATATCTCGAAACCCGAGCAGAATGAGGAAAAATGTTCTAGACAAAAGTTATAGGGTTCGGACGGGGACATACGATGGTGACCTTGAAAATGACCTTGAAGTCGATTTTCAAGGTCAAACGAGGGTCAACTTCGATTTTTCAAATGAAAACCCCTATTTTTTATTGCAGGATCGTATTCTACGGAAAAAAATACAAACTTTTTGCAGGAAACTTTTTTTTCGAAAATGCATTTTTTTCCGAGTTTTTCACGAATTTCGTTCGTCATGTTGCTTGAAGTGTCAGATGGATCCTATTGACCACTAGGACAGACTGGGGTATTATTTCACCAGAAACACTAGTACTCGATACAACGGTGGTTGTGTAACTAATCCGGAACAGCGAAATTTCAACTCTCCGAATTAACACACATAAGGATCGTCTGGACAAAGTGAAGAGGGGGCGCGTGTGTTTCTCTATTATTTTGAATAGCTGTAAACAATTTTCACCTGATAAAATCAAAGGTGTGAGAGGAACAGTTCAAGACAAGGATAAAATTGCTGCCAAAAAATTGAGGGGAACGCACGCCCCCGTTCCTCTCCTCAGAGAACTCTAGCAGTCTCATGTGTGTTGATTTGATTTGTCAAGTTTGTGTTATTTTCTGTTTTTCTCTTTTCCGGCAGCAGCGCGATCGGTAGGGGCAGATGGGGTAGCGCGCCTCTCCTGCCATGCTCATGTAATCTTCAAGCGTCTTCGAACATGCGGTAGGGGCCCGAGAGTTGCGCGATGGCACGTTCTCGCTCGGTCTCTTCGCTCTCGCGGTAATGCTGATTATTGGATCGTACCGAACAATTGAAAAATTTGATAATTTGATAAGTTCCGTTGCCCTGCTCTCCTGCTCTCGAGCATTGAAGACTCAGGCAGCGAGTAATGCATGAATCCCAGCCAGAATCCATCTGACACTTCAAACAACATGACGAACGAAATTCGTGAAAAACGGAGAAAAATGCATTTTCGAAAAAAAAGTTTCCTGCAAAAAGTTTGTATTTTTTTCCGTAGAATACGATCCTGCAATAAAAAATAGGGGTTTTCGTTTGAAAAATCGAAGTTGACCCTCGTTTGACCTTGAAAAAATCGACTTCAAGGTCATTTTCAAGGTCACCATCGTATGTCCCCCTCCGAACCCTATAACTTTTGTCTAGAACATTTTTCCTCATTCTGCTCGGGTTTCGAGATATTTGGGGTGGGACATTAAAATGGGACACCCTGTATAGAGAAAATGGAAATAATGCTCAATCTTTGGATAGACGATGAAATAAACAAAATTGCTTCTTTAAGTTTTATGATAATTAGAACGAAAGCTGCAAGCATTTGTCAACCTTCAGGATTCTGTACCTCTTGCAACAACAAGTAAAGAACCTGAGCTTACTTTCCAAGCAAGCAGGGGCTGGTTTGATAATTTAAAAAAACGTTTCAACCTTTACAATTGGTAGGTGAATTAGCTTCTACCGATTGTGAAGCGGTTAGGACCTTCCCGGCTAAACTGCTCGCGCATATTGAAGAAGAAAGATACCATCCAGATCAAGTATTTAGCGCAGATGAAACTGGGCTTTTTTGGAAAAAGATGCTGACCAGGACGTATATATCACGAGATGCAAAAGTGGCAGCTGGATTTAAAGTTGCCAAAGATCGTTTAACTTTAGTGTACTGTGGAAACGCTTCTAGTGATTTTAAGTGCAAACCATTGCTGGTCTATAGTGCAGAAAATCCTCGTGCATTAAAAAATCAAAAAAAATATGAGTTGCCCGTTTTCTGGAGAGCCAACTAGATAGCTTGGGGTAACTGCACAAACCTTTGAAGACTGGTTCCAAAACTGTTTCTGTACTGAAGTAAAGAAATATTTAGAGAAAAAAAACATGGCATTTAAAGTTTTACTTTTAGTAGATAATGCCTCTGGGCATCCACAAACATTAGGAGCTGACACATTGAAGTCATGTTTTTTCCCCCGAATACTACGTCCTTGTTGCAACCTTTAGATCAAGGCATTATTGCAATGTTTAAGGCTTACTATACCAGACGTAGTTTTTCTCATATTTTGCACCATTTGGAAGAAAATCCAGAAATATCTGTTAAAGAATGCTGGAACTAATTTACTATTTTAAATGCAATAGAAAATATTGCTGCCTCCTGGGCGGAGGTCAAATTGTCAACCGTTAATGCACGCTGGAAGAAGCTATGGCGTCGGTGTGTTCAGGAAAGTGCAGTAGAATCAGATTAAAAAAAAAATTGAAAAAATTGTAGAAATAAGTAGACAAGTGGGGAGGGAAGAAAATCTAGAGGCCGAAGATGTGGAAGAATTGACCCAAAATGAAGACGACGGTCTCACTTATACAGAACTTGAAGAACTAACTCGAGAAGACTTCATTTTGAGTTCAGAATAGGATGAAGAAGAGACCAGTGTTATGAATCCATTAACAACAAAAAGTGTACAAGGAGCGTTAGACAAAATGTCGCAGTTAAAACGTGAGATCATTGAGATAGATCTAGATATACAGCGGAGTATGGTTATTAGCAGAGGATTGGATAACCTCTTTTCACCATACAAAGAACTTTTAAAAGAATTGAAAACCCATCAAATTCAAAAAACAATGACAGACTTTTTCCAGAAGAAGTCTCCCAGAATCTGTACCACCAAGTACACAAAATTAAGTTTGTAAGTGTTTAAGTGTTTTTGTTTCCGAAAAGTCATTTGCCTTATGTTTTAAAATCGATTCAATGTATGCTAACTGTCGGAGTGGTTGAGTGGAATGAATCGTTTTATTTGGAACACATAACTCCAATTATTTATTGATAAAAACAAGAATTGTTATAAATGACTAATACAGAAATACAATATATCGAAAGTAGACGCGGCGTGTTTGAATGCTCGGAAAGAACTAACTGGGTGGTCGGTCGGTCCTCGGTGCCCTCCGTACTTGCAGGTCAAGAAACTGTCCCTTCGGTTGTTTATTACTTTATTACTCTTTGGGTTGCTGAATATATTACATCTAGTCCATGCAATATCGTTAATATTCAACACTAACCTTAAACAATTATGAAATTCAAAATTCATATTCCAGAATAAATATACATAAATATATAAATAACTGAATTATGTTTCTGATATTTAATTGTTTAAAACACTAACATAATGACTTGTGCATTGCGGATTTGCGCTTCGTGTGAATCTTCCGGAACCTATCCCCCCGCGAACGACAAGGTTTTATTGTATTCTTATATCTCGAGACCTTCAGTCTCAATAAGATAGGCAGAGTTTATCATGAAATTTTGTAGTGTGCTCAAAAATTGTACAGTTCTGTTAATATTGTTAAATTTAAATCTATGTTTTAGACACTGAAAGATAGAACATTAGACCAACAGTGCACTGTAACCAGACCGGGTGTCTCGCATATTGCTGGTGCTCTGGCAGTTGAATTAGCTATTTCTGTTTTACAACATAAAGATGGGTAAGTAATTCAGGTTATTTTTGTTCAATACTGTAGACTTCCAGTAAAAACGTTCGTCACTCAAAAGTCTGACCTATTTATACTAATATCACAGCAAATAAAACAATCAGCAGTCTAGGTTTCGGGCGGCATCTTTGATCTATTGAAATTCAGTGTGTTGCGTCACCGACCGCCATTTGAGGATAGAGGACAGGGCCTGATTAGGGATATTTGCAATTTTCACTCTCCTCGTTCAGGACTGTATTATCGATATTTATATAAATATATTTTCTAAAAATGTATAAGCCGCTTAACAAACACACAATTAAGGAAAAGTAATTACATACGAGAATTTAAATTTTTTAAATAATTTGATGCGGTTTTCATTTTTAACTAACTAACTACCTACTTTTTTAACATTATCATTTTTAATGTACCTACCTACAGAATATACCTATAACAGTTTAATAGTTTAAAGTTTCAACACACAGCAAATAAGAGTTTAATAGTAACACACACATACAATTAATAGTTTTAAACACACTGAATCAGAAAGGGTTTAATGATAATGATAATAACACATAAAAAATCACTCGCCGACTGAACACAATGAACATCAAATGGTAAGACTGACCAGTACCATGCCACTGCCGTTTCTGACAAGTTCTAGCCTCAAATGGCGGCCTGCGCGAGGGGATGCGCATATCGTTCCCGCCAACTACAGCTAGACTGCTGATTGTTTTATTTGCTGTGCTAATATCACACAGTAATTGTAATCTGTACCTAGGATTCTTTTGGAAAATATGGCCATAAATGCCCAACTGGCTGAAAAAATACTTTGTGAGTTTTGAATTACAATTTCCAGATCAAATATATTTTAAATTTATTGTAGTAAGTTACTTCTACTTAAAAGTACATAACTTTCATAAATGATCACAAGCCACGTGGCCAGTAATTTTGTTTCGAACAGTAACTTTATTTCCTTCGTGATAGTAATTAAATTTTTGTAAAATTAAAAATTCTTAAAACCGTAAGATAAAGATTACATTAAAACACATCATTCTGTCTCACCTGTTGGAGATTTTTATTCAACTAATCAGTGATTGCATTATCTCGAACGTAGACATAACGGTTTGTCGTTGTTCATTGTAAACAAATCATTTATATTAAGAATTTTCTACATAACTTAGCAACCCCACACTAAAGTTATAAACTGTTTATTTTGCCATATATAGAATTTTCTTGGGAATCCCTATATTTAAAAATATACAGGTTGTTCCATTTAAAAAATGTAATATTTGGCGTGTCACGTTTTTACTCATCGCCCTGTATGTATCAAATTAATTTTGTAGTTTAGATTTCTTGATTCTATATAACTTTTATATAAACTTTTTTTCTGTATTCTGAATAACAAGGGAGTTATTTTACTTTCTCACACTAATGGCCCACCCTGTATATAATTTCTGGGAAATATCTTGAGGCTTTTGCCAACAGTTATTATTATATACATATTATGAAATAAAGTAGGTAATTTTTTACAGCTAATTTATTAGTCATAACATTCAGATAATAAATAATAATTCATATTTCAATTTCTTAATTTTAAACAGTTAAATACTTCCTGGATAAAAAAACTGTTTAGGGTGATAAAAAATGTGCAAGATAATTAGTATTATTAATTGAACATTTTTTGATGGTCACTTATAAAATTCAGTTTCCATTTTCTTTTAATCATTCAGAACTGACAATTTTTTTACATACCATTATTAGTTTCTTTTTTATTTAATAAATTACCAGGAAGCTATGCTTATACTTTTAATTATAAATAAGAATTATATTAATATCGTATTAAAATAAAAATATTATTTTTGCAGTGCAAGAGCCCCTGCTTTTTATAAATCATCGCAAAATCCACCTGTACAGGATTTGAACCCAGATAACGAGTGTCTATTAGGACTTATCCCTCATACGATAAGAGGCTTTTTATCATCGTTTGAACAAATATTACCTGCAACTGAGAAGTACAAGCATTGCGTAGCATGCTCCGACATGGTCTTAAAAGAATATAGCGAAAATGGTATGGATTTTCTGTTGAAAGTTTTTAATAGCTCAAAACATTTAGAGGATGTCACAAAATTAACTGAAATGTTCAAAGAGATAGACTTCGGAGATGTAAGTATTTTGTAATTGTAATTTATTAAGAATTAACTTAGTACAGAATGTAAAACTACAACATGTCAAAAATGAAGGATCGTGTTCGACATCCAAATTTAAGAATTTCATAAAATGGGTAACTAGATATTGTGGAGTTGCTTGATTTGTTTCGGTGTTGCCATATTTATTTATTCTCTAGCGATTTCCTAATATAATTTGGAAGTAAAATATTCTGGGAATTTAGACGATGCTTAATTTTGTCATTCAAATTGTGGCGTTGTTTTCAAATGCATGCATACTAGTTGATGACCTATGATGAAAATTGCATACTTTAAAACTTCGCAAAGGTTTATTTATAATACAAAAATTTTGGTAAATTATGCACATGAATAAATGCATACATAGTTTGGAGAAATTTTATCCACATTTATAAATTTTACTAATATCTGTTTGAAACTTGTGCTCTTCAGGGGTGACTTGTTACAGAAGTTTGCCTCCCAAACATATAAGAAAACATGCTACTACAATACACTGTATGGCAGAAAACTGATAAAATTAAGAGGGCTCTATAACCAATAGGCAACCAGCAATACACTTTTATAGATTTTATTTCACAGTTTGTCTAAATATGAATTACTGCACAAATAACAAACTTTCCTCCATTGTAACGTAGATTTATTATAAAATGGAGTTATTTTGAAAATCAAATTACTTTTTGTTGTAAAGAAATTTGTAATTTGCCACTTTTGAACAAGTGGCATCGTAAATTACAAATTTCTTTACACCAAAAAGTAATTTAAGTTTAAAACTAAGTTTTATAGAAAATCTGCGTTAAAATGGGGGAAAGTCTGTTATTATTATTATTAATTCATATTTTGGCAAACTGTGTAATAAAATCTATAAAAATGTATTGCTGGTTGCCTGTTTGCTATAGAGCCCTCTTACTGCATGTAGGTGCTTTCCTGGTAAATATACAAAGAGATATAGATTTATGAAATAAGACTTACTGTTCAGAATTAATACAATAGTGAAGAATATTGAAAGAAAATGTGTCAGAAGTTGTTAAAATTTCATCTACAATATTTATTGAAACATGGGAGACTGCATCAAAGGTTTTTTAAAGGGGTAACGCCACTAGAGGTTGGGGAAATTAAAAAATATCAATAATTGTTGATTTAGTGACCATTAAAGAAATATTGAAAACACGAAAAATTTTGCATTAAATTGTTAATAACAAGGAAAATTGTTAATCAGTCGAAAAATTCCTACAATGTTCCCTGAGTTATGTTATTGTGAAATCCTGTACAAAATTTCAAGTTGATTAAATGAAAACTTTTTGAGTTATGTTTCCAGCCAGTTAAAAAAAGTGGTTTCTCGAAAAACGCTTGTAAAGTTTTTGTTGCCATTCAGCATAAGAAATTTGTTATATACTTCAATCAGCGATGCCTGCATCATATAGTTGGCCTTCTATGTTGATATTTTCACCCTCTTCTTTTCAGATTTATCATTCAATCTGGCCTTTATAATAGCTAACTCTCGCGTGCTTCTCACGAGTTACAACAAGTACTCCTGCAGCGTCCTGCGAGTGGTTGCGCTCCCCCTCGAAAAAACTCGTGTTCCCAATTTTTCCCCTCGCCTAAAATTGTTTCTTTTATTCTTCACATAATAAATCAGAAATCAATTTTTTTAAAATTCCTGCTTAATGAATTTGACGTTTTACTGGAAAATATATTTTTTTGTCAATTTAGAAATGGAATGAAAATTAAATCTTGATTTTTTTGCCTAGATTTAAAATTGTTTAAATAATTTTACTAAAGGTACCACAATACGTTCTTTTATTTAAATATATTTTTTTCAACTGTGTGCCATAATTATTTATATATTTTTTATTTTGAAAGTTTTAACACCCTATATCCAGAGTTGCAAGTCTAAATATTCGTATAAGAAAATATGCTTTAATTTTGAAGAATCTTTTTCCTTTTTGACACGCTGTTGTGTTACAAATTGTATTGTGCACAATAGGTACCTACCTACATTGTGTTGGTTTATGCATTAGTCCAGTTGGTAGAGGTTCGGCATGTGTCAAATCTTGATAACCCCGAAATAACTACACAGGCCTACTTTAAATGATGAGTACAATTACAGGCTAATTTGCTGACAAAGTATTTTATCAGGAAAAAAAGTAATTAACAATTTAATAGTGAACATTTTTTTTTTTTAGTAGTTTTCTTTAAATAACTCAGCGGGATGACTTTGTAACGAAAAAATGCTTAGGACATGATTTTGTTTGTAATAAAAATAGCTACAAAATGGCGGTGGTCCGATTACGAGATTTGAAATAACAAAGCCGTGAGATTGAAAAAACGGTATAAGTAGCTTAGGATCTAAACGATGAAAATCATTATTTTTTTTTAATTGTAGGTAATTGTGCTGGTTGATCTACCGTGATGGAATATTTTATAAATATACATATATATAAAAATTAAAAAAACGGTGACGTATAAAACTAGGGTGACATATAAAACCTTACCAAAGCTGCAAAAATGAAGATAATTGAATTTTGCAAATTGCTTTTGGTTTCTGCATATTTACACTATGTGTGTACCAAATTTCAAGTATCAGCAAAGCTTCGAACAAATTTGGCAAAGTTTCGAGTTTCAGATGCCGATGGATGTATAAAACCTTATAGAACAAAAAGTTTTACTCTTCTGATTTTCGACTTTAGCGTTATTATTGTATATACATTGAACTATAGTTTTTGAAAGTTTTGTCACTTTTTTTTATAATTGACATTTTTACAGCAACTTTAAAAAAATGACGTTTTATACCGTTTTTTCAATTTCAAGGCTTTGTTATTGCAATTTTCGTAATCGGACCACCGCTATTTTGTAGCTATTTTTATTACGAACAAAATTATGTCCTAAGCATTTTTTCGTATAAAGTCATCCCGCTGAGTTATTTAAAGAAAACTACTAAAAAAATTTTTTTTCAAGATTAAATTGTTAATAACTTTTTTTCCTGATAAAATACTTTGTCAGCAAATTAGCCTGTTATTGTACTCATCATTTAAAGTATTCCTGTGTAGTTATTTCCAAGTTATCAAGGAAATGTCACCAACAGTAACATTTCGGCCTCTGCCGACTGGACTACATTAGGATATAGAAAAATTCCAAATAATATTAACATAAGAGGTATTTTTTTTAGGTTTTGGAATTCAGTGATGAAGATTTTCAATAAATAAATGTATTAATTTTCCAACTCCAGCATATTTATTAAAGATGAATATTTGCTTTATGTGTATCTTTCATGAAACCATAAATTTTAGGTGTTTTAGGATGGGCATAATGCATTTTTGTATATATTTTAAAATTGTATTTAATAAAAACCTAAACAAAGTATTTTTTTACTTATTTTTTTTTTTTTATTAATTTATTGCTAGTGCCTGTGTTTCGAGCTGGACAGTGGATATCTTAAAAATTCAAGGACAATCAAATTGGAAAAGTTATGGAATCTGGTGATGAATAACAAGACTAAACTAAAAATTTTTATTTTGATTTAAATTATTTTGAATAGAAATGGAAAGAACAGTTTAACTCCAACACTATTAGGACCCTTTTGTGTGAAAATTTCAAATATACAATGTGTCTCCGGATGGGACAAAGCGTGGTTGTAAACTTCAAAGTTCTCGGAACAACTTTATTAAATACAGTTTTTAACAAAAACAATAATTAAAGGCACTTTGCTCAAGGAAAATTTCACATTGTGAAATTTTTTGGACACCATGTATGTTTTGCTTTTATTACATATTTGATTACTGTCCATGGCTTCCCAAGATAAGCAAAATTTTTATCAAGAATAACACACTGTATGCAATCATATTAGTCATGATGCCTATCAGGGCTAAGAGACAGTAGGCTTTTTTTTGTAAAGTAGTTCCTACGTTGTAATATGAGTGAATGAACACATTAAATCACCACAATACAACAAAGATAAAAGAAGATAGAAATAGTAACTACAAGTCAGATATTTATCAATATTCGTTGCAAAAAAAGCCTAGTATTCATCTTTTGTTTTTCTTATGGATTAAATTTCCCTTTTCATAATTCCACTCATTTTACCGACTATGATTACGATGTTATACCTATGATACGACTTGCTTTTATTTTACTTAATCAAATTATTCTCTTTTATAAAGTGCTTTGAAAACAAAACTTCTATAATATAAGGCAAGTTTGGTATTGACATCTAGATGCTCTGGATATATTTCTTTGTCTTTTTATCTGTTAAGTCCCGTTTACACGCTCGTGCAGTTTGCGCCAATTGACTTGTGCAAGCAAGTTTGCACAAGTAAATCATTGTATGTAAACGGAAGCATGACATTTACCGAAAAGTTTGGCTTGAATCCTTGTCCTGCTAGAAAAATTGCATGAGGTTGGTGCTGTTGCATGAGCGTGTGAACGGGATTGCACCAATCTTCCAGTCTAGCGCCTGCGCATTGATGACAGTTGTAATCACTCGAGGAACAGCAGACATTTGTTATCAGCTGTTTATCTATAATAATTATTATAGTTTGTGGTTGTTATTGGTTATTTCTGACGTCCTGGTTTGTTTTTCTTTGAAATGGCGAAAAAAGATATTGAGTGCTCTGAGAATTTATAGACTTATACAGGGTGATTCAGGTTTAATCTGTATAACTTCAGGAATCTATAGAATCGGTAAAAATAATGTTCATTTATGATATAAACTTATTTCTTAATTCGCACCATTTCGGAGATAGAGGGCGTTAAAGTTTGAATTTTTTTCCTGGTTTTCTCTCGTAACTTTTGAACTTAATAATACTTTTAACGATTCACATTTGCACAAACGTCAGTTTATACAAATCACTGTGAGTATTGTTTTTCATGAGTTGCTGATAACGTTAAATGAAATTTACGTGGCTGGGTCGCTACGTCGGGTGCTACACTGTCATGATTTTCATTGAATATCTCAGAAACAAGGCCAAATATCGAAAAAAAAACGAGACGAAAAAGTTTCAAAATTAATGAGGCACAGGTGGTATGCAGCTGTTTTATTGAAATTAATTAATTTTTTTTAAATTTTGAAATAATGTAAGAGAGGGGTAGCACACAAAATACACTTCTAAGAGGGGTAGGTGGTTCAAACTTAAGGAGTTTATGTAAGACCATAAAGAGTGTTTTGTGTTCCGAATTTCACTTCAATCGGATGAGTGATTCAAAAGTTATGAGGGAAAAATGGGTAAAAAATTCATACTTCTACGCCCTCTATCTCCAAAACGGTGCAATTTAGGAAATTTCATGATTGAACATTATTTTAACCTATTCTATTGATTCCTGAAGTTATTCAGATTAAACCTGAATCACCCTGTATAAATTGTTTCCATGTTTGTGGAAAGTAGAGTCGGGAATATACTCATCGGAATATGAAATCTCAAGCCTACGACATTTTGGTTGAAAAACTCCTGCACGATAAGAGGACACTTATGTACCACATTAATTTGTGGTTTAAATTAAATTTTTGATATTTGATTGAATTTTAGTAAAACTACAAAGCAAATTACGTATAAATAATTGATTAAATTAACAACTGATAATTTCGAAAATTATCAGGTCCACTGCACAGTTTGTTAATTAAATTCGTGTGTGAAAACAAATTTCTTTTTAATAACCAGGGTTTAGACCATATTCTCTTTTTCTACTTCAATTTCTGTTTTTTCTTGATAACGCATATCGCAACCGTCGCAAGAATTAATTCGGTACCTATCATTTTCCATTTTTGTAAATCAATAAATAAGTCAATCAATATAAATGCAATATTAAATAAGTAAATCAATATTTATACTAAAAATTTAGACATTGATAAGTTAACACTTCTGATGCCAATGAATAACCGCGCAAACTTTTTTGAACGGCCCGTTTAGTTCAGTTCATTTGCGCAAGGTTTGAGTGTGTAAACGGGCCCTTACAATTAGAAAAGAACAAAACGCATCTAGAGCGTCTAGTCTAGATAGATGTTAGTTATCAATTACATATCCAAAATGAAATTTTGATAGTTCAGTTAAATTTTCCTTATATGGAATTAAAACCGCAATTTTCACATGAAGAAAAAGCACATGCCTAAAATTAATTAAGAAGTCTGGAGCATTCTATATTTTCTTCTCCTGTGAATAATCTGATTTTACTTTTTTTACTTTTCTAAACTTTGATGACTACGTACTCGAATATTGAGTTTTCCAAGCACTCTATAAAAGTGAATAATTTGGTAGACTTTTAATAAAAATAGCTCAGTAAAACGTAAAATATAACGTTCATGAGAAACAAAAGTTGAATGTTCTAATACCTACATATTACTAAAAAAGTGAAAACAATTAATTTCAAAATTTTGTTTTCAATCGATTACTTTAAAATGAAGAAAGACCAACCAAATATCAGCATGTAATGTGTTACGAAATTCCGCAGCTTTGCCCTAATTTGACCTTAAAAATCTAGAAAAAGCCATCCGGTGTAATTTAGCAATTGTAGGTAGGTATCTATTATTTTTTTATAATTTAGCAAGCTAATGCTAAAATTGAACAATGACAAAGATACCGTTGATTGGTGGGTATAGACCCAGCGTATAATCGCAAATGAAATAAAATTTTGATTTAGTCATTGTCAGATAAACAAGTCATTATGTTAATAAGCCAATACAAATTTAAAAACATTTTGATAGTGTACGTGGCGCCTGTTTTTATCAAGAATATTAATTTAAAGAACAGGTAAATCTACAAATAAATAATAATTTAGTAGTCCTTCGCCACCTTTTATTCTTCTATGCTTTATAAAAAAATTGTGAATGAATAAAATAAGTGTATAACAGACGTAACGTGATGATGTTTACATTTTCTGCCGAACTATTAAGCCTAAAGCGCATGTGTAACGATGGCAGACATGTGTGGAATGGAATATTGATATCGCATTCTTTCTTTAGTGGGACAATATTGAATAACGTATTCCACATGCTTCCTCTTTGCGACTCAAAATTACTTTCGTTGTGAACCACCGATGCGATGCGAAATATTTCGGCCAATCGAAAGAAAGCTGTGTTCACACTAGAAAAGAATTGAGCCAGGAATAATTGAAATTATTAAAATTTAATACTGGTAGACATAAGATACAAATCCGGTACTATTTATTGTGTACTTAACCCAATTAAAAGATAACTAATATTGTAAATTAATTTTCTCTGGTTGTTGAATTAAACTTAACTGTTATTATCGTGTAAATTGGTTTTTCGGTTTGGAAGTTTTGCGGGAGAGGGCCAATGTAAATATTTGACATTCCTTGCATACCGAACTCACAGGTTCGACCGAAATGTCAAATTCTTTTAACAGTTTTTCTTGTTAGTGTGTTATACAGTTTAAAAAAATATAATAGGATTAATTTCTCCAGTGACTAATCTTAAAACTTGTGGTGTGTTATCAAAAATATTGAAAGGTAAGCTATTTTTAATTAAGGGTTAAAATAACACGTGATTAATATATTGATTTTAGGGGTGGTGGTATCTCTCCTCTGTATTTTGTTTGTTACTTAGCATTAAAATTAAATTAATGTTATAAATTCAATGATAGGTTCTAAAAATCTTGTTAGTTAAATAAATCATCACAAAATAACTAAAAGGGGTTACAATATTATTTCGTTATTGTTTTGGATGCCTCTCTTTTTATTTTTAAATATAAGTGGTTATTTATATTAAAATTGCACTAATCAAATTGTATGGTTCTGCATTTTATGCTCGACCTACTAAATTTTTTGTTGACAATTGATGAATGGAATTTCAAATATTTTTATTATTGGGGTCACCCTGTTTTCCCCAATTTTTATACGAGATTGTTGAGCGTTAACATTCCAATGCGTTCTTTGTAATTAGCTTTTCTTAATTGCTACCGTTTTGTCCTTTAAAGTTATGTAAACTCTTCAAATAGTTTATGCAAGTTTAGTTTTTTATAAGATTGCATTATTTTGAAATATCTAACTTTTTTCATAACAGAATATTTCCCCTAGTCCTAGTATTACGTACGTGTGTTTATATTATAATAACATACCAATATAAATTATCCCTCTTGAATCAAAAAACAACAATTTAGATCCTGTTGATATAAAATTTACCAACACAGATTTATAGGTGTAATTGTCTTGTAAAAATGTATTGAAAATATAGGATGTGTCTGTTACGTTACAGCGCGAATTATATAATATTGATTTGTTTTTTTTTCATGGTTAAATTAAAAATGGCTTTGGTCAATTAATTTCTAACCAAATTTCGTTTTTGGTATTTGTCATCGACTAATACTTTATCATACTGTTCGGGGTTTCAACAGTCTTTAAGAATTTAGGTAGACCTAAGACGTAGTAAATTGATAGCCATACAGTTTTTTTAATTATGTTATTAAATTCCATTTCTTTTAGTAGAAAACATTTTTTTCGTTTGCTTTCCAAAAGAAATAATAAATTATCAAAATATATCGTTTCCGAGATTATTTTATTTTTATTTTAGATCCTTATCCGAAATAACTGGTATATAATAACCATATCAAAATTATATGGACATGTAAGGTAGTTCCGAGGGTAGTTCTATTATTTTATATTAATAATTTTTTCTTTGGATGTTTCGAATTAATATTTGGAGCTTCTAAATTAACTTGATGAAGGATATTTGAAATTTACTTTTAAATGTAGATACCTATATGTAGGTACTTCTTATTTATTATGAGTAGTTGATATTAGTCTATCAGGGACTATCTACATTTCTACATTCATACAAAGTCTATGTTAAAAAATATTTTTATAAGTAGGTAAGACCTCTTGAAATTGATTTCCTTCCAATGAAAGTTTATAATATTTTTTTTGAAGAATTTGACAGCAATAGTTTTTTTGTCTCTGACATTTATTTATTCACGAGAGTATCAAGTATGCCGTCGGTACTAGAAATTCCTTATGTGTAAAATAACTGTGACCTTACTTAACCTGAAAATAGTAATGCAAATGAAAAAGCAAAAATATTTCAATAACAACTCTATTGGATTGCTTGTATATAACTCATTATGATCGCAACCATCAGACACATTTTATTCGCATCTTTGATTAATGTAATCGAATGCCTTTACTTTTGTGATGTTACTTTTTGTTTTTAAAAAATGTAAAAAGTACCTACCTGATTCAAATTATCAGTTAATAACATTATAAACTACATGTAGTTTTGTTATATTTTTATTGTTTCTAATATATCCCCTATGTTAAAAATATTTTTACTTTAAGTAAACAGGAATAACTAATAATACGTATTGTAGCTGTGTTATAAGAATAATTTAATAGAAAAATAAACAACTTAAAAACAGAACTAACATGAAATTTGCACTGAAAAGTTATAGGAATTATTCAAAATGATTACCGTTTTCTCATAGGCATAAATAATTTATTCGTCGAAAATACGTATTATTAGATAATCGCGACGTTATTCGCGTTTCTGTTGAAAACGACAACGTTTTTTGAAAATTATCAAGAGTAAGAAAAGTTTTATAATTAAATTCCCGATAAAATAAAATAATATTTTTTTAAAGTCCAACAACGAGTTAAAAAATTCTGTCAAATTTTAATGGTGCATCATCCCTTATCAACCTTTTAAAAAGCTTGAATTGAACTCTACTTACTATCGATTAATGCTCTTGGTACATTCACACCGTGTATCAAATTTGGTTTTTCTAAGTTTAAGTATAACTGAGATATTGATTTTTTTCAATATTTGAAACCCCTCTTTCAAGGCCTATAGCTTCTCGAGGGTGCAGCTTAGTACAAAGGTAAATTGCGTTAAATCACCATATTTTGGGTTCCCCCTGCTCTGTGTTGGTTCTTATGCGAAACACCTTGTATAACTAATTAAAAATTAAGCCAGTTTTTTTCAAATTTGGATGTACTTATTATTCTTAACTGCATCTATGAGAAAAAAATCATCAACATACTCCTATAATACCTTCTATTTTTTCTCTTTGTTTTTCAAGAAATTAAAACCAAATCATTAAAAAATTCATTAAAAAATGCTCTAAATAGGACCTCTTATTTCTATACAGGGTGTTTAGTAAGTCGATGCATTCCTTGCAGGAGGTTATAGTGCAAGTGATTTGTGATAGATTTCCTTAATATTCCATACTCCGAAAACGCTTAATTTCTCATCTATAGGGTGATAAAGTTTTAATAAAAAATGCTAATTTATAAATATGGAAAACGCTCAAAATATTTTAATGAAATTTTACAGGCTTTGACAGTTAACAACAATACATATTTTACGATAAAAATATTGTTTTCAGTTTCACCAGTGGCGTGCTTACAAGAACGTCTTTGGCTATTTTTAAAGAATAAAATGATAAGCCACTGATTTTTCTTAAAATAAAAAATATTTTTGAATTCCTTGTTCAATTTGGAACAGAAAAGGTATCTCGACTGTTTTTCTTATGACGCACTGTTTTCGAGTAAAAAAATTAAAATCGATTTATTGCATGACGTAATCCGGTTTCAATAATTTGAAAAATAGCAGAAATTATGCACTAATTTTAAGAAAAATCAGTGTTGTATAATTTTTTTCTTTAACAATATTTAGTGACGTGCATGTGCGCACGTCACTGATGAAACTCAAAACAATATTTTTATCGTAAAACATGCATTGTTGTTAACTGCCAAAGCCAGTAAAATTTCATTAAAATATTTTGAGCGGGTTTCGTAATATTTATAAATCTGCATTTTTTTATTAAAACTTTAACATCCTGTAGATCGGAAACTAAGCGTTTTCGAACTAGGTATATCACAAATCACTTGCACTATAGCCTCCTGGAAGGAATGCATCGACTTACCAAACACCTTGTATAGTGGGTAATATTAATTTTTCTCGAGAAAAAAATTGATTTAACGTTTTGAGTTGCTTCTAAAATCGGTTAAAATTTTTCTGTATATTTTGCAGTATAAGAAAAATATGTTTTGTATAATGGTAAGCACTAAAATCTGCAAATAATCTTTAATTATTATATTATTAATTTTTAAAAATTGTGAAATCTAAAAATTATAATTTACTGGTGTTGGAATTGTTGGAAACATAACGAGAGGATATTTTTGTAAAATGTTTTAATTATCAATAACAAGTTATGATCAATTTTTGACGAGTAGTTAACGAGGCTCATTAAATCGTTTTATGTTTTTAGAACTTTGATGATTTTTATTTCGTATGTGCAGTTTGTTACTAATAATACGTGTATTACACTTTAAACAGTGACATTAATGATAAGGCAAAAAAAATACTTAGTATGTAGTTTTCGGATACTCTGTATAAAAAGAATGTTGCATCTTGCATCATATAACTAAGATACGAACCTAACAGTTACTTTTTTTTTAAAATGTTTGAGTAACTGAACTTTGACTATAAAAACATTGGATTGCTATAAATGAGCGCTTCATAAGACAATATTTTGAAAAATATTGAAATTGTTATTTAAAATATCATAGTTTTTCGGGATCTTATACCGTGGCCTGTGTACCTGGCTGCCGTCAGATATAGACCTACATTTAACTTCCTTAGCTTTAGCTAGTGATGTTTGACCTACCCTTGCTGTTCTCGGGCTAGGCAGTGTGGGGAAGCACTCTCTGTCAGAATTCCCTAAGGCCACCCGTTCATTTCGTTTCTCGTTGGTAATTCCAAGGCCTCCACAGATGGAACCACTTCTCAGGCAATGGTGATCCTCTGATTGTGATATGTTCCCTCGTGTCTGTAACTGGTCGCATCCGATGCTTCCAAACGTTTCGCCGTTATTTTCCTGTCGGCATCTTCAGCGGTGACTCGACGCTGCAAAAGCTACGCCGCTACTGACTTTTCTCAGTCAATTTACAAAATGTAATGAGGTAAATTAGAGTATTTGCTACTAGTTTTGGCTATCAGGGTTGAAGAAAAATGACAACAATTAGAAAAGAAATTGCTGCATAAACTACTACTATAAATAACATTGTAATTTTGTCTAAATATGAAAATATCAGTAAATTTTATAAAAACATTGTCATTCCGACAGATTGTTTTGAAATGTTATTTAGAAGTAGGTATCTTATGCAGAAATTTATTTTGTTTGCCATTTTTTTCCCTGATGACGGTATAGGGTATAGCCGAAACTAGTAGGATAGAAAATAAAACATTTTTATACTGAATTAAAAATGACTTTCATTTGTCTCATTACACTTACCGTTATTCAGTATTTCCATGAACTGTCGTTAAGAAATTAACAAAAAGACCCTTTACGTGAAGGTATCGGGAATCATCTGTAATCAACTCTTAAACCGTTCTTTCGTTTTTGACGCTTCGTTGTCTGACACTGTATGACTAGGCGTAGAAGAATTTCTCAAGAAAACGGGGAAAGATGCATTACGACATCTGTTAGTAATAATCTCTTAGATTTACCATACTT